TTTTCCTGAATCTCATTTATATCCAAATTTATAATTATCAATCGAATACCTTAGGGTGAATAAACTTTTTCCCTAGGTGGTCGGGAAGGGGTCTTTATATTAGTAGGATTAAAAATTATTTTAACCCCCAAAACAATAGTCAAAAAATATTTTTAGTAAAAAAATCAGGTGAGTCATTTTTATCGAACAGCACTGTATACAACATGCCAAACTGCACTTAGAGTGAAACACATTTTAACTGAATGTACGCGCTTAGCCCCTGTAAGACATAAATACTACAAGAAAAGCAATTTGATAAAACTATTTGAAAATAATAAAACTGTCAACATAATGCCCTACCTTAAATAAACGTATAATGCCTATAATGGGCCATCTACAAACTATATATCTATAAATTATATATTTACCCTGAAAATTGTGTACAAAATATCTATAATTGGAGCTGTAAAATTGCTTACAAAATATATATAGTTGAATCATAAAATTGTGTCCAAAATATATATAGTTGAATCATAAAATTGTGTCCAAAATATATATAGTTGAATCATAAAATTACGTACAAAATATGTAGATTTCGATATTAAATAACCCATAGAGGTGTTGATATACCACTAAACAATAATAACCAAACCAAAGCTTCCTCTTCACTTGAAAATAATCAGTGTAATATGACTCGAGTGACAGCATACTCAAAATGTTGAAATCAAACATTGAAAATCATTTGCTTCAAATTGATTCTGTTAGTCTTTTTTATGTGTGGCTTCCATATAACTTCGATAAAGAAAAGTTACTGGATTGTAATTCCATGAGCTATTGGCTATTTAGGCATAACGAAAATGTCCCACTTTTGTGAAAAAAAAAATCGCATTTCCTGCCTGAATAAATTAGGAATTTAAAAAAAATTCTGTTTCCTTTGTAATTCTTTCATGTTGGAAGAAAATAAAAAAAATATCTGTTACACTGCAAAGTATGAATAATGCTTAATCAAAAACTTCAAGTAAAAAATGGTTCGTTGTTGGAATATGGAGGAAAAAAATAGGCCGAGCGTGTCTTTGTGTTAAACGAAAACTTGTCATGCGGTTCATCCGGTAAAATCCCAAGAGGTAAGTAGAAACTCGATATCTTTGTTAAAAAAAATGTGTTTGCAAGACGCTCCCGTTACAGATCCGCCATGTTGTCTAGGCAGAACCAAAAACGAGACAAACATCCGGTTAGCATTAAAATTTAAAAAAAAAAAGCTAGAAAAGTAACACACAGAGAGGAACAGCTAATGGCTCGATTAGTAGAGAAGTGGCCAAGAGTTATGAGGTTTCAACGCGACACCTGGGGGTTTGGCATTTATATAACAAAGAAGTCTGATGTTTTAAAAATTAAAAAATAATCTCATTCGCTTTTGTTTAAAAACTAATTGATCATAAATTATGTGGTCCAAAAGCCAGTCTCGGTAGAAAGTTAATGAATGAGGTTGTTGTATGAACATAAGAGGAGGTAAGAAGTTCAGATTATGTAGGAAAGATAACGGTTGACACTAGACTTGAAGAGGTTACTTTTGCAGCTATCGGGGAAGCATTCACTCGGGAGTTTTTTCGACAAAGTAGTTGTTCTTTGGAAGAAGTTGTTCAAATGGAACTTCCTCCTCATTAACGGAACACAAGGGGAATGGGAGATGATTCGTCCCATTCTACGCGGCACGGTGGGTCTTAGCTGTGAAGGTCTGAAATGGTGGAACTAATGAATGTAAGTCGCCAGAACATTTGCCAAGGAAATAACAATAGAGTAACGAGAGACTTACGACATTTTGTCTGTGGGAAATGGGTTAGAGAGAGGAATATAATTCATCATGCACAAGGCCGTGTAGACACTGTTGAACTCTATCGGGGTAGAAGAATTTAGAAGGAACCGGAAACCCGGACGATAGGTCGTTTGAACAGGAGTAGAGGTTTCCTTGTTTAGGTTTGGATTTCCGGTTCCTTCTAAAGTTTCTTCAGTTCTTTACTCCTAACGACTGCTTCTGGACTCTGAACTTTTATTCACTATTTATTTCATTTTATTATGTTTAACCCTCATCCACCAATAAGAGTAGATAGGTTCGCCTATCGTCCGGTTCACACTCCTCCCTGGTCTTTTGAACAGGTGTAGAGGTTTATACTTTGTTTCCTCTTTTAAGAATAGTAATGTTGATTATTGGAATTCATTCCGTATATACCAATTATATAATAATAATAATAATAAACTTTTCTAAAATTTCTTGTAATTTTTATCAGACACTAAAATTTGATGAAAACAAATTAAACTTTGTTAAGCAATAAAAATGTAAATTGAAAATGATTTAAGAAATTTCTGGTCAATACTACATACAGAATCAATTTCATTCCACACCATGTGTCATCTACTATAAATGATAAATATTTTTAAACTATTGTTCACCTAATACAAAGCCCCAAGAGCCATTCAAGGAAGAGGGTAACTGAATGACACGTAGAAAAAGATAACTGTTATCCTTATAGTTAAAGAAGTTAAGTTTGTTGTGATCAGGGAAGCATCCGCTCGGGAGTCTGTTCCATAAAGTACCTGTTCTTAGGAAGAGGCTGTCCGAATGGGGCTTCCTTCTAACTAGTGCAATACGAAAAGGAGGCTGATTATTCGTCACAGATTACATAGCATGGTGGTACGTAGCTGTGAAGGTCTGAACTGGTAGAACTAATGAAAATGGAAATAGTAATGGAGTAGCGTAAGGCTTGCGACGTTTTGCCTGAGCGACTTGTGCTCGTTTACCATTACTGTACGTCAGGGTGTCCATATCGCTATTTACTAAGTTTAACTTTCTTATTCCGGGTAACTAGTGGTATGAGTAAATAAGTCTAGGGTTTCTTCTGGGCGTGGGCGATCATGACTCTCTCGAATTTCATATCCTTTTATTCTTTAGTAAAGCCAAAGTATTAGCCTGAAGAACATATGTTTTTAAAAAGCTTCGGTAGATCACGACTTTAATGTGAATATCATGAATGGCACCAAACCCGTTCAAAAATATCTAGACTGTCATTTGTATGAAACTGCTTTCTAAGATTAATGCTTAAAAAAGAGCGAGTGAAGGTTGTTGGAAAAGATCATCTTTGAACAATGAGGACTGACGCTACATAATCACAAAGATCTGTACCAAATAACAGAAATCGCATCACTTGGGCGTCCTGGGTATGGCGATAAACTATATCCGCGTCTTGGGTATGGCGATAAACCACACCCGCGTCCTGAGTAAGACGATAAACTACGTCCAACAGCAAGGTTTCTGATATGTTTTGGAAAAAATAATATTGCCAGCTGTACGTTTTTAAAAAAATAGTATTACCAACTATACGTTTTTTTTGAAAGAATAGTGCTGCCGGCTATACGTTTTTGAAAAAATGATGTTACCAGCTATACATTTTTGAGAAAAAATATATTAACAAATAGATTTTTGACAAAACAAAAATATTACCAGAAAAAAAAAAACAAACAAAAAAAAACGTTGTCGGCATTAAATGATCCATTTAATCCAGGGATTGTTTTAGCTAATTTGATAAAGTTAGCTGTGGCTATCACAAAGCTAGAACAGAAAAAGACACCCAGTGAGAATCCTACTCGTTCGATATAATCAATAAGATGTATCAGGTAACCATGGGTTTATGACAGTTTACTAAACTTAACGTAGTCTGGCAGTTGGTCACAACCGTGGAGCTCTAGAGTGAAAGTGGCGTCCTTTCCTAATTGTCTTTTTATTCTTTCTTTTTTTCTTTTTCTTTCTTTCTTTCTTTCTTTCTTTCTTTCTTTCTTTCTTTCTTTTTTCGTTCTTTTTTCTTTCTTTCTTTTTCTTTCTTTCTTTCTTTTTTCTTTGTTTCTTTTTCTTTCTTTCTTTTTTCTTTCTTTCTTTCTTTGTTTCTTTTTCTTTCTTTTTTCTTTCCTTTTACTTTCTTTTTCTTTCGCTATTCTTTCTTTCTTTCTTTGATGTACATTTTCCATAAAGATGCAAAGAGAAGAGAAGAGAATTTCTGGCAACCTCAGCAAGAGGTAGCTGGCATTTCTTGGACATCGAATGAGGAAGGCGGACTTGGAGAATTTGACCCTCACAGGGCAAATCGAGGTCAAGAGTGACAGGGTAAGACAGCGGGCCGCCTACCTGATAATCTTTTGCGAATGCATGGCGGAACAGGAGGTGGGAGGCTTAGCAACGGGGCAATCGTTTCTAAGAGCTACAAGGGATAGGAGGCTGTGGAGAACGATGATTGCTCACATTCTTGAAGGAGAACGACACATAAAAGAAGAACCTGTTAGCTATCGCCCTTTTGCAGGCGACCTGTTATTTAATAGTTTATTCCAGTGTCATAATCCTGGAACGTTTGACGGGTTGCTGTAGCCCCTTGAAGTTAACCCGCTCACTATCACTTTACGGTAGGATCTCAGAAGCAGTGATTGTATACTTGTCTGGGTTAGCAAGATTCGTGTGACCTGAGGTCGTGAGAATCTTAGATTCCGGTAGACGAAGACGAGTCTTTTTTTTTTCTTAAAATACTGGAAGCCGTTTGTCAGGAGTGATTACTGTTTTCTTCTTTTTCTTGTAGCTGGGGGATGGGCTTTCATCTTAAAAGTCAGGGTACAGGTGGCAAGTAGGGTGGATAACAACGTTTAAGATTGTGTAGACCAACAAACAAACAAAAGAAAAACGACCTTATTAGATAACATCAAAGTTTGGCAGCATTTGTTGATTTCAATTTTGTTAACGTTTATATATTTTTTTTTTTTTTTGTTGAGTTATTTTGATTTCCTGGATGTACATTGTCGAAAGAGGGGGACAAAGGGAAGAGAATTTCTGGCAACCTGAACCAGTTTTAGTATCAGGTAACGGCAGCCGGAAAAATAAGAGGACTTTTATTTGAAACAAAAACAGATTATCTGAAACAAAGAGCGCATTGTTTTGCAGTGGCGAGAAATCCGTAAACCGTCATTATCCCCGACCTCGGCTTGAATCAGAGAGGGGGGGTGTAAAGGAAGAAGGAGAGTGAAATATAGTGGAGATGAAGTAAGAGAGGGTGGTACAGAGTAATGGTGATAGTATGAAAAAGACTAAGAGTGAATGAAAAAGAAGATAATATCGCGGGAAGAGTGAGGAAGTAAAATAAGAAGAAAGAGAAAAGATAGAGAAAGAAGAAGAAGAAGAAGAAGAAGAAGAAGAAGAAGAAGAAGAAGAAGAAAAAACAGAGACTGAAAGAGAGAGAGAGAGAGAGAGAAAAGAAAAGAGAAAAATAGAAGAAAAAGATGGTGGACGAATATGAGGATGTGTTATGAAGAAAGAGGAAGTAGAGAAGGTATATGAGCAGGAGGAAGAGGAGATGAAGAAGCAATAGAAGAAAAGAAAGGACTAAGGCGAAAAGATGAAGAAGCAATAAGAGAAGAGAGAAGAGGACGGAGAAGAGATGAAGAAGCAATAGAAGAAGAGAGAATATAAAGAGAGAGAGAGAGAGAGAGAGAGAGAGAGAGGATGAAGAAGCAATAGGAGAGAAAGGACTAAGAAGAAAAGATGAAGAAGCAATAGCAGAGGAGAGAGAGAGGAGGGAGAAAGGATGAAGAAGCAATAGAAGAAGAGAGAATATAAAGAGAGAGAGAGAGAGAGAGAGAGAGGATGAAGAAGCTATAGAAGAGAAAGGACTAAGAAAAAAAGAAGAAGCAGCAATAAGAGAGAGAAGAGAGAGAGAGAGAGAGAGAGAGAGAGAGATGAGGGAGAAAGGATGAAGAAGCAATAAAAGAAGAGAGAATATATATATATATATAGAGAGAGAGGATGAAGAAGCAATAGAAGAGAAAGGACTAAGAAGAAAAGATGAAGAAGCAATAAGAGAGGAGAGAGAGAGAGAGGGAGAGAGGAGGGAGAAAGGTTGAAGAAGCAACAGAAGAAGAGAGAATATAAAGAGAGAGAGAGAGAGAGAGAGGATGAATAAGCAATAGAAGAGAAAGGACGAAGGAGAAAAGAAAGCAATAAAGAGAGAGAGAGAGAGAGAGAGAGAGAGAGAGAGAGAGAAAGAGAGGAGGGAGAAGGGATGAAGAAGCAATAGAAGAAGAGAGAAGTAAGAAAGGTAGAACAGATGGAGGAGCAATAGGAAAAGAGAGAGGAGGATGGGAGAGAGTTGAAGAATAGAAGAAGAGAGAAGCTGAAAAGGGAGAAATGTTGAAAAAAAAATAGTGCGGAGAATAGAAAGAGAGAAGAGATGAAGAAACAATACATGAATAGAGAGGGGGAGGAAGAGGAGTGGCAGGAGGAGGATGGAGAAGAGTTGGAAATGAAAGTTGAAAAAGAAACCTGAGGGAGAGGAGAGAGAAATGGTAGAAAACGATGGAGAAGGAGGCATACGGAGAGTATGATAGAAAGAAACGTAGAGAGAAGGAAAGAGAAAAGCAGAACGGAGGAGAGAAAATGAGATAGATAGATAAATAGATAAAGAGGCGGAAGTGGAAGTGTGAAGATAACAAATCCATCAATAAGTCCGTAGCCTTATGACGAAAAATGCATTTATTTTGCACAACTTTGATCTATTTTCATAATTTGCGGTCAACATTAATCCTATAGATCGAATATTATACAATGAAATTCTCAAATCAAAATTAAGTTAAAGACTATGTATCAGTTTCCAGATTTTTACTCTTTTTAGGCACCTTTGCCCATCCCTTTTTAGACACCCTTTCCCATCCCTTTTAGACACCCTTTCCCACCCTTTTTAGACACCCTTCCAAAAAAGAAAAACAAAAACGAGCTTTTAATTCCGTGTAGTTTCTAATACCTTTCCAGTTTTCTTAGGCGAAGTAAAAATTTTGATTTGATGGAAACGTATAGTGGATTCGTTCTATTTTATTTTAATTTAGTTTTTTGTCGAGTGATCGGCAGCTAAATCGGCTCCCCTAACCCTCTCCGTAGGGTGTAAGGAGAGTAGTTATCAACAATGTTTTAGGATAAAATAATAAGAGTGATCAAAAGGCAGAACTCTAATGCGTCGACTAGAGGTGGTGTCTCAATAAAGTCACTGTAGAGAAAGTAACAAAAAAGTTCTCTACTGTCTTTCCCAATACAAATCATGATCGGCAGGTAAATCGGCTCCTCTAACCCTCTCCGTAGGGTGTAAGGAGAGTAATTATCAACAATGTTTTAGGATAAAAAAATAATAAGAGGGATCAAAAGGCAGAAAAACTCTGATGTGTCAACTAGAGGTAGTGTCTCAATAAAGTCACTGTAGAGAAAGTAACAGAAAAGTTCTCTACTGTCTTTCCCTATACAAATCATGACCAGACTAAAAGTAAATATATGAGATAATAGCGTTTACTGCATTAAGCCCCTTAGTACTTACACCTCACTCGGACTGGAGACAATGTGCGAGAACTGTCACTTAATTGTCCTTCATCGACTATTCGCAAAATGAATATAAGATATAACGGTTTGAATTGTGTCAATCCCCTTGGCGCCGATTCCTCGCTTGGCAAGGAGAAACTTGCACGAGAGCTGTCACTTGACCATCATCCAGCTCGCAACAGACAGAAAATCGTAATGTCAATGTTGCTAGTTGAAAAATATCAAGGAAGAAGTGAAGAGGTTAAACATTAACATTCTAAGGCTATGTGAAACTAGGTGAGCAAACAATGAAGACTTCATAAGTGATGAACACTGGATTATATACTCAGGCAGAGAAAAGAATGAAAGAGAAGCAGAACTTCTACTAGATATTTATTCCGTGATACTGTCTGACATAGATCTTCAAGTTAAGCAGAAAAGGAAACCGTGTACTATTTCCGTTATAATCGTAGACGGAAAGACAAAGTAATGTTTTCTAGCATATTGGATAAGGTCAAGACTCAATGCAAATATGCATTTTTTACTACATCCTCAAGGAAAACATAATTCCTAAAGTAGGAAATGACGGTGAAATAATTGCTAAGTATGAATTACGAGTTTCTGTAGAATATTTGGAGAGAGCGGGCCAGAAAGCTATGCAGTTTCTTGGACGAAGGCCATGATTATCAAATATACGATAATAAATTGCCTCGATCTCAGACAGTTCCGTTCAGAAGTCTACCGTGGCTTGGAGTTGTAAAGAAAAAAACAATGAAGTTAATGTTATATTATTTAAACAAAGTTCCTTATTTTCCTGTCAAGATTAACAGGATTACAACTAACAGAATTAATAAAAATACAAATTCCTTACTTAGAAAAATGGGTCCAATAGTGTACACAAACGGTCAGATAATAACCAACACTTGATTTCAAGACGCTCGTGAACATGGGAAAGCCGAGAAAGAAACACAACAAAGAAGCAGGTAGACTATATAACAATTAATATAAGATTAATGGATGCAGTTTTACACTCCAAGTGCTCACTGTTGTAGCATATGTAAACTAAGATTAAAATCCTACCATTAAAGAAACGAAAGCAATGCCTACACTCCAATTCAACAGACACCAGTCGACCTCAACATGCCGAGATGTACGATGAGAAAGTTAAGGGTAAATATAACAGCCTGGATGGGAACTAAAATTTAAAGTGAAACGCATTATGAGAAGCACCAGTAACATCGGAAAACGGAATTATCCCAAGAAATGTTGATGAAAAAGAGTCCGCAAACAACGTCAAGGAATGGTACAGAATGATAAGATATAGAACATTAAACACAGATATTAGGAACAAATATCAAGAAAGCATGGGCATGTTGTTGTACTGTCTCATTCCAACAAAACGAAAAATGTAAGAACGCTGGAAAAACTATATATATATATATATATATATATATATATATATATATATATATATAACACAAGATATGTTAAATTGTCGGAAAAAGTAGCCTACCAAAAAACGGACGTATAAAAAAGTGCTCAATGCAACACCTTATAAAACAGGCATGAAGAGCAAGCTAATACAATAATAACAATTTAAAACACCGCATACTACCGCACACTGCCGTAGTTTCGACCGCTATCTCATCATGTGGCTGGGTAACAAGTATATATATATATATATATATATATATATATATATATATATATGTGTGTGTGTGTTTATATATATATATATATATATATATATATATATATATATATATATATGCTAAGTCACATACCATTAAAATCTCGAGCTCCATAAGTGCCATCTTGTCCTTCCAGCTCTCACTGTCTTGGTGGAGCGTCAGAACATCCTCTAGCGCCTGGTAGATGTCCTGGCGGACGATGTCCTTCCAGCGGTGCGTGGTCTGCCGCGAGGTCGTCTCCAGTCTGCAGATGGTGTGGCGAACTGGTAGATAACTCTGAACGGGGTCGTCATCAAAATTATATTATTGTTCTAGTATGAGAAACTTTTCCTATGTGAATTTTAAAATATATTTTCCAGTTGTTATTGCCGCACGTTTCTCCTTGAACACCTGGCTTCGTAAACATTTTAGACCAGCCACATTATTCTCAGAAAAACGCACTAATATCGGACATCGTTACTGTAAGGAAAATAATTCTATACACTACAAAGTTACAGAAAAAAAAATCAAATTCGCTTAGTACATTATTTATATTCTTTCCTGGCGACAAGTAGAAATTACTTAGCTGTTATGTCAAGCAGTGTTCGTTGAGAGTGTGGGTTTTTCCGCGTGATGAACCTAAGAGGGAAAAGACGAGCATTCAGTTTGACTCTCTTTTTTGTCTCGTTTTGGCTAAGGAGGAAGTGACGTAGGGCGTTTCTGATTGGTCGCTTTTTCTTTCAAGATCAGCAGTAGCAATTCTTTATATGTCCGTTGTTGTGTGCTTGGCGGATTTTTGCTTCAGGATCGCCTGCCGGAATAGGTATTGTTTCGGTAGGGTTTCTTGGGTGAACAGATATGATATTGAAAGACCAAACCTGAAACTTGTCATGACCCCAAGTCATAACATCACTGATGAGGTGATCCTGCGCACTCGTTGGAATGTATTCATCACACACACACACACACACACACACACACACACACACACACACACACACATATATATATATATATATATATATATATATATATATATATATATACCCGTGAAAATTTAAGTTTTTCCTATTTTCTGAAGAATCTTTATTCTTCAGTTAATGAACGAATAAGTTTATGGAGAGTTCTACAACAATAGAAAAATCTCTAGAAATCCTTCCATGGCTTCGTTAAATATTTGAGCTTAACTTTGAAAAACAAAACAATATTACAATAACAATCATAAATATGATTGCTGGTCGTTATTTTTAAGAAGTAAGGGGGATACAAATGAAAAGATTTGGAATTGAAAAAAATTTGTATTTCAGCGAAACAGACGTTAAACACTTCTTTCTTTCGTTCTTTTTCTCACTGAAACCAAGTAGCGTCTCTGATATGCTTTTTGCCTTCTTTCCACGTGATCAAAACGGAATAGTCTATTATATATTAGGTATTTGTAGGGCGTAACGTATGTATGTACCTGCTAAGTAAATAAAGAACGGACAAGCAGAATTATATATATAAGATATATATCCCTGGAACATATCATAGGTCGCAAAACGTCCAGAAACAAAGTTGAAAAGAGTTTTTTTTTCAGAATTTTCAAGATTAACACGAGATTTCTTTAAATGTGGAACCGAAAAGTTGCCTTCGTGTTGAAGATGAAGGTCATTGCCGTTTTTATAATATTTAATTTCAGTTGAATTCTGTTATATAGGAATAAAGTGTCGCTGCCGACACTTGGGTTGGAACATAGATCGCCAGTGAGAAAATACAGGCGATCCCATTATTGAATTAAGTACACCGGGTGGCCATAGAGGAAACTCATATATAGGAAGTTGCGTGACGTCTAATTGATCGCATTTCTATTCTATCCTCTATTACTATTCGAATCCCCATCTCTAATCTATCCTCTATTACTATTCGAATCCCCATTTCTATTCTATCCTCTATTACTATTCGAATCCACATCTCTAGTCTATCCTCTATTACTATACGGGCCGCTATTCTCTATACTATTCACTGTACTATTTCCCTATACTTGTTAGTGTGAGAATATTCGAAGGCGTCTGACACCAGTATTGTTCAACGGCGTATTATAGATGTATCTGCGATTACAAAGTCTCTACTACAACGAGCATTACGAAAGTGACAACGAGTATTCGTTGGCATTACAAAAGTGGCAACGAGTATTCGTTGACATCACAAAAATAATCCATTTTGTTTTTCTTTCATTTCTGGTAAAACGTCATTACGTTCCAAATACCGTAATCCATTACTGCATGTTTATCTCTCCTAAAAGGAAAAGAGTCTACGTAAAGATTATTATTTGTTTCTTCAAGAAACATCCATCATACGCTATGTGATTATGTGGAGCAACATTCTTGTAATTGTAGCACCTCAACTTTTACTTATTTGTCCCTGTGATTTGTAGATTCACATGACAAAATGTAAGTTGACCGGAAACTGTGAGCGCTTGGTGGAAGTTTAACGGGGTAAAAATTTTG